GTAACGGGTCGTCGGGAAATTCGTTCAAAGCGCCTGGATGGTAATATCGAACTTCTAGAAAAATTCAGCCAGCTTTGCTTCGCGGACACCGATGAAATAGTGAGGCCTGTGGCACTGCCTTCGTCAGGCTGACGCATCTCCATGTTCTGCGAGTCTTTCACATGCCTTGTATGACCACGCCTTACTAAGCACTCTTTAGAAAGCTTGGAGATAGCAGTATGGTTTCTTTGCATCTTGACCATACCTCTCTTATACACAGGTTTACCAAAGAAGCATTCGCTTAAGATGCCCCGGTAGGCTGTATCACTGCTCTTTATTCGACACTCTTTGTTAAGCTTTGAGATGGTAGTATGGCCGCCACCCTTCTTCAGCACAAATTATCACGTGGCAGTGGCTTGAATATGGTAACGTGCACGTTATATATTGGACGAACTGTTGCCTGCTTTGTTATTCGCGAAAGTTGTGCGTAGTGGGATTTACCAATTCTTGTGGCACCATGATAGCTTTCTGATAGGCCGCACAGACTTCTGTGGCACACGCCCTGGTCTAAACACACACACACACACACCACACACACACACACACACACACACACACACACACACACACACACACACACACACACACACACACACACACACCACACACACACACACACACACACACACACACACACACACACACACACACACGCACACACACACACACACACACACACACACGCGCGCGCGCGCACACACACACACAATGTTCTTGCTGAGTTCTGAAAACAGTTGCTTTAATCGCACCAATTCCGCTTATTCTGCCTTTGTTTGGCAATTACGCCTCAAGGGGCTCTTCGATGCTCTTCTGTTGAGACATTAATTAGCCTCGAGCGGGAACTGTGGTCCAGCATAGACCCTTTCTCGGCTACTATTGTCGCTGCTCGCGTGTTGTCTGGTCTATTTCGTGCAGAGTTTCACTGCACCATCCCAGCTCATTCGACACTAGCAGCGGCGGTTGATCTTCGTATCAATGGAACCATTCCATGATGTCGGTTTCGTGCGCACGTCAACACCCGACGACATCAGCGCTTATGAGTGTCTCGTGCTTAACGTACGTGAGCAAATAGCATATACTATACAAATAGCTTCGGTACGGGTCAGGGCCGTAGCAACCTTTACCTTTTATACTATTTTTTTTGTATTTCTCAGGGGTGGTTGGAAAGGTTCAACCACTCTTTATGTATACATCGGTGCGTGCGTTTGTGTCAGTGTGTACATATACACATGAAAAATCGAAGTTCTGAAGAAAAACAGGCTGCCCCCCCCCCCCTTCTCTCCTATGCCAAATTACGCATGTGTTTTCCTGAAGGTTGCTTCAAAGCTATAGAGCGTAATGCAAAGGTGGCGATGGCTATGAAGCAGCATGGCGACTGTGAAAACTGCTTGTATGTCATTCCATTGATGTGAGATACATGGACCTACTGGTTGAGCTTACGTCTCTCGCTTAGTAAACCTCTCCTCTCTCTCTCTTCTCTTTTTTGAGGGAGTTAATGGCGCCAGTTTTCGGAGTATATGCGTACTTTAAGCACTGAAACTATTCTGCGAATCCTGCAAACCAAGCAAGACTGCCGTTTGCATCTCAACTTGCTACTGCGCGCACCTGTATACACGTTTTACTTCTCCATCTATTTTTCCACAATTACTACGCCTCTTCGATCACGATTCGTGCTTAGACGGGAATGTCGTAAGCGCCTCATCCCACGCTTTCGTCATTACATCGAGCATCTGTCGCGACACGTATGCTACCGCACATCTGCGGGAAAGCCGTAGGTGCGCATCGGCGCAGCGGTGTGCAAATACACTCGCCAGCTTGCCTGATCCGCCCCGTCAAACTTCATTCCCCGTCACCCGCCCATCAGAGCCCGTCCCCGAGAAACAGAAAAGAAAAGACAGAAAAACAAAGAGACTCTGGCAAGGTTTGGCACGCAGCCCGGTCGCTTGGGCTGAGGTAAACAACCAAGGAGGAGGCGACGGCAGTTTATTGCGTTCTTGCGAAACGCGCAGGTTTCTCCGTGAACGCTCGGCACGCGTCTACAGTCTCGCCTTCGCTTTCACCTGGGTCTCTTCGGTCGCATGCCGAAACGCCAGCTGAGTCGTCGCCACTTGATGGAAGGGCTCGAACACCCGTCGACGTTATGCGTTCCACGTCACCACGGCGCGAGCCAATCGGATCTGAATGACGTCACGTCTCGCGCGCATCGTCGACGTGTGCGGTTCTCTTATGCCTTCTCAATGCGCGTGCATACCTCCCTTTTTGTTTTCACGGTGGTCGAGCTTCAAATGTAGACGAACTGGTGCCGGGTCTTGTTCCAATTAGTCAGCCACGTCGCCTGCGACGTGGACATATGTATGTGTATTATCAACCTACAGTTTTACGCAATGTCATGACCAATAGGTACAAGCGCTGCTAGACGGGCGCCTGGTGCAGTTTAAATGGTCCCAGATAGAGGCAGAATTAGAAGGAGCAGTGCTCAGTACACCTACCAGGTGTCGATACGCGGATGCTGCTTTTACACATATATGATTATTGAAACGCATCTGCCCTCTATTCAACGTCAAGACAAATTCAAAAATAGAGGGTGGCTTTAAGTAAATAACAGTGGTTGTACAACAAATGTTACGGTATCCACTACGTTTTGAGAAGTGTGCCTGTCTCTGTCCGCATCTGACGAGAAAAGCAGCCCGAGTTGTAGTTAGGACGACATGTACGTCTTGCTTAGTGGACCTTCAGTAAGTTACTCCAAGCAGAGCTTCCTATTAATGGCGAAATTGAAGGCGCCTGAAGTGGTCAAAAAAAAAAAAAGCAAGGTGAAATAAAGAGAACTATGACAAGAAGCAGAAAAAAAAAAGTGTTCAGACGAGATGTTTCCAGCCGTTCGATTAATGTAGTGAGTAGGTTGGCACACGGTAATGGGGATGAATGCTGGGCTTACTAACGAGGAATTGGAAGGGGGGAGGGGCATGTGGCGCCTCTATCATGGTGACCGTGGTGACTGTCCCTACAGACTTATATATTGCACGAGCTCCGGCAAGCTCGCGGCAACTCCTGTCACGGGTAAAACACTCACGGCAATTAAGGGGGCGAGAGAGCTGGACAAGTTCTGTCAGCAGACAGGCAAAACATATTAGTACGAGAGAGGAACCACGGGAAAGTGAAGGGTTGCGCTTTAGTCAAGTAACCGCCGCGTAAAAGTCAACGGGCAATGAAGCCAAGGACATCACACACTATGGAGGGAATTTCCCTTTAGTACGTCCTCTGTTTCATTGTCTGTTGGCAGTTATCAAACAAAATGAGCGTAGTGAAAGGGGTGTGTTCGCTCGCAGACTCAATGATATGGCGCGCTGCGCACCGCGGCAAGGAAACGTATACAGTCGGTCGAAAAGATTTGCGGGACACGATTCCAGGGCAAGCGGAATTTTCTGTTCTCTGCTTCTAATTTAATGAACCACTCGTTTTGTGAGCAACGCAAAAGCTGCTACGGATTGAAGCTTTTGGAACATGACGCCCATACTTCCGCGGGAATTCAGATTTATTCGCAAATTCCGCGTCCCGTAAGATATTGTAGCCAGAGTACATACAGTGGTGTCATAACCATGCTGGAGAAGGCGTAAAAGCATACAACGTTGATTGCGCTGGCCATCGCTGCATTGGCCAGTTAAGTGAAATTCTCTTCTCGTTGTGCTTAGAGTTAGGCTAATTGAAGAAGAAGGCAGCACACACAGTGAGACGTTGATGATAGGCCAAGGTGCAAGAGACTCAGGTGAAATACTGCGATAGAGTCACTCAGACTGAGATGAAAAGAATGAAGAGACTGAGAACGCGCAATCTTTATAGAAGGGGCGCCACCGTGCTTGACAAAGAGCCGGACGAAATTAATTGCTCCCACGTGGAAACACCGGATGTGACACTTATAGAGTAGCGTCTTCCACCACCTCATGTAGTCTGCACACGTCTATTGTTCTCACGTGGTCCCGGATCTCGCCCGAGTCGCGTAGAAGGTCCGTGTGGTTGTCGCAGGAGCGGGGCTTTACGATGAACAAAAATATGCCGTATGTCTGTAGGGTCTGTTACCTTACCCTTCTGGCCTCATACTTGGGTGTAGAGAACAATAAAAAGCGTCTTGAGCTCGTTGGCATTCCTGTGCATTATGAAGGCGTTGCACTTTAATGTGTGAGGACAAAGGGCAGTCTGAGGTTAGACAGAAAAGTGATATAAAGATAAATAGCACAGGAACATGAGACACACTTAGGTAAAACGCAAGCGCATCGAACCGTTTGCCATTTCTTTTTAACATTTTCAGTCATATTTGTCTTTTGACCTGTAACAGGAGGACGGGGAACGCAAATTCACTCTGACAAGCTGTTTTTTTTAAAATCACGTGCATTAATTTCATGTGGAAAGTAGTGCCCGATTAGCTGTTGCACGACTTGAGGTTCAAGCTTCTCTTCTCGTGGTTAAACTGTAACGATAATATATGTATACTTGTGACATCACAGAATTCAAATCATATTGCCGTACTTGCGACGCTGAAAGAAATCCCCACATTTTGCTATCGATTGAGCCCAAGGCTCGCTTTGTAAACCCACAGTGCAATCGTTCTTTCCCGAAGAACGCGGGGTCACAGCTCGCACAAAAGTTACCACTCTGCATCCAGGCTAACAAGAGTTCCGAAAAGACGCTGCAATACGCCTTGTGCGATTATCATGAGCTTGTGCAGACTCTCTGAAACTTCGTCGTTGGCTTGGCTTTTTGTGTTCTTCTATAGCGCGTTTTCGTATTCACCTGTTAGTTGCTTGCGCTTAGGACGGCCGTTTTGCCATTGTAGACGTGTCGCTTACTAACGTTCCCTAACTTGCACCAAGCTTCAATGTCCTATGACTCTAACCGCACACGCCCGACCCCAAAGAAGCGCTGTTGACGGACGATGATTCGGGTCTTTGTACTCTAGTACTCACTTGAAGAACTCGATATGCGGGTCTGGGAAACCGGGGAACCCTCCTGGGAAGCTGAAGCCGACCTTGGAAGGGTCTGGCAGCAGACTCCTGGACTCAATGTCACCCTCGGGGTCGTCCCTGATGAACTTTCGCTTGCCGTCCTTGCCCACCTGGTAATGCGTAAAGCGGCTCTTGCCCGTCGAGTCCTTGTAGCCCGAGCGGCCCATTACGATGCCGTCGGGGCCGAAACTCTCGTGGTGGAAGCTGCTGACCGAGTACGAGTTGCCCTGGCCCGATGACGTCCGGACGCAGAGAAGCAGGGCCACCACCGCGAAGAACGCGGCCATCCGAGTATAAGTAGACTACGACAAAGATTTGGCAAGAAGAGACGTCTCAAACATTGCATTGCACAAACATGCTGAAACTTCAATGCATCTCAGATGTGCATAGCTGTGATTATGGGCACAATGTAGACAAGAGCCTGAAATCTCAAAACTCTGCAGGTGCTTAAAAAAAACTCGTGTAAAATTATTTGTGAGAACACACGAATCAAAACACATGGCACGGGCAGCGCGAACTATCAAGTTTCACGGTTAGCCCGCAAACCAAGAATTTTTTTTTAATCACGGAAACGTGTCAACTTCTGAGACTACGTCATGTCTCGCGCAGCATGGTCAGTTCATAGAGCTATAGACTAGAGAAAGAACGTACGTGAAATATGCTTACCAGAACCAACATAAGTAACTGTTGACAAAAACGTGAAAGCTCTTAAGACAGCGAGCAATACCAACATTCAGCATTCATGTTTTGCTCCTCTGGTTGGACGTATACGAATTATGTGATGCTCGGTTAAATATAGTACAGTGCAGGGATAAGATCAGCGAGCCGTTGTCGCTGTGCATGGCTACCGTTTCTCAGAGGGGAACGCGACTTCGAAGAAAATTAACAAATCATAAGACTGGATTATCGCTTGGACGAGCACAAGTACAGTGGCCCAAGTAAGCTGAAAGTTCTTGACCACTAATAACCTGATTGGTCCTCACAATTACACTGTTTTCATACGTATAGCGTAAGCTGAAACTTAATATTGATAGGTACATAGTGATGTGTCTTGTGCTTCTGTCTCTGCTCGGTGCAAAGTAGCCGCCCTGGATAAGCAGTTCAGGACTGACGGAATTCTTAACTCAACAGCTGACATCTGCCTTCTCCTCACATGGACCTTGTTTTTATCCTGATTCTATAAGCTGACTCTTAAAACTTGTTGACGCGTGGCGGCACGTCTTATATGCCGCTGCTCTCTGCGAAGTAACCACACGAGAGAACGAATTCAGGACAGATGCATGACCACTAAAGAAATCGGGTCAGCCCGCGCGCGCGTCGTTACGCCGCTCCACGACGAGTAATTTGCTGTCGCGTAACAAGTCGGACCCCAACATCAGCGTTGCCGCGCTCCGTCGCTGCTCTTTCCTTCAAACTGCGACCGCGCACCGCTTGCAACGAATCATCCAACGCCTCTCGCCGCTGCCATGCATTACTGTCCGTTCCTTGACTGCAGACAGAAACGTCCCGCACTGACCATTGTCGAAGACGGCCTTCTTCCGCGTCGATCGTCCGAGCGGCTCTCGAAGAAGAGTATAATCCTGCGCAACCGATTAACCTCGCCGCGCCGGTGAATATATATAGGAGACCTGGATCGGGGCCTCCTGTGCGTCGTGCCTTTCTAGGAAGCACTCCTGGCGCTGCAGGAAGCTCGTGGAAGATTCGCGGACTGGTTGTCCTTGAATGACGCGTGCTTCCCAGCCGCCCGCTGTTCGCGTCGGCGCCGCGACGGTGTATTCCGCTGGCGACGGTCTCCGAGCGGCAGACGACGCATCTTTCTTGTTTTATCTTGTATTTTTCCCTTTCTTATTCGCAAGTCCTCGAGAAGGAGCGCGGGACACTCGCCCTCGGAGCCGGCTCCCCTGCGTAGCCCGGACCGTGTCCATGACTCCACTGCGTGGCACGTTTACTATAGGTTTAAATTGCACTAAAGAGTGCTGATTTGCCTCCTCGCCTTTAAACCTCTCAACGAATATTTTTCTCTCCCCCCCCCCTGTCTTTTTATATTTTACTACTTCGCATGAGACAGGGGCGGATCCAGCGACTCCTTTTAGGGGGGGGGGGGGGGTCACTAAAAGTATCACCGGAGGGGGGGGGGGGGGGCTGGCGTTATTGTTTTTAGTAGCACGACAACCCCGCCTTAGCATAAATAATGTTAATTCGGGCTCACAGTGGCCCAATTCAATAGTTCTAATTGGTGATAGGAGGTGTATGACAAGCACTGAAGAGAGGGGGGAATGTTTACATGGGCTTTGGGGGGGGATCGCTCCTACCGCCCCCCCCTCCCCCTCTGGATCCGTCACTGGCACGAGAGCGCACTAGAGTGAATACACCATGATCAACTACATTGTGATTGGAGACGGCGACATCTGCAGCCCCCTTTGTGCGGCACGAAACTGTTTGACAGGATAGTTTGACAGTGCTAGTTATCACATTTGACGGGGTAGTTTAATAGTTATCGCAGATTCTTTTTCAAGTGCTCTTTAGGCCATCACAGCCATTGTCACTTCAAGTCATCCACCCCCCCCCCCCCTTTTTTTTTTCTCTCCTAAAAGAGAATTTTATTTCGCATCCGTGATTTCATCTGAACAATTACGTTTACGTTACGGTGTTATTCCTAGAATAGAGCAGCACACCCGTGATAGAGAGGCTGTTCTAGCCTCTGTACCCGTGAGGCACTTTTTCTTTGTTGTGCAGATACGTGTATCCGATATACACCAAATCACCGCTATCGGCACACTTCTGTCGTTGTGCAGCACGAACTGTATACGTCGTACCTTCCGTTTCATTTTTCAAAAACAATATTTTTCCTCTTTCTTTGCCTTAATTCACGATGCCCGTCATGTTTTTAGAATGACCTGTCTTTTTGTCGGCTGTATACGTGGACGCAGACGCTTCAAGATTGCTAATCTCACGTCGTCTGACGAGTCGGCGCGAGAGAATCAGTGGCGGCTGCAGTCTTTCTGCAGCAGCAACAGCAGCAGTTGTGTGTTACATCACACCGCCCAAGTTATATCTCTCCACGGGCAGCTAAGAGTGAACTCACACACGCACATACACACACATGGTGGGGCGATCTGCATTTTGGCCGCCCGGAGCGGGTGCTTCGATTGCGCAACAAGGATGGAAGATGGCCTTTCGTATTTTTCTTTTATTGGGTGACATTCGATGGGCAGACTTCGCGGACGAATAGGAGCATAAAAATACCATGAACACTTTTGTGTGCTGTGTCGAGGTTCTTACCTACCTTATCTGTAACCCTTGACTCAGTACGCGTCCACGTGGGCTGAAATCCAAAGAGCATTGCGGAACTGCCCGGCCAGGTAACCCCACAACATGTGTCACGTCGAGAACGGTGCACTACTAATATAACTACGATGAGTTGGCGCTTGCCCCGACTAATCAGTATAAGGGCAGATTGTTTCCTATTATTATTAGATTGATACATGATAAGCGTTTTTTTTTGCATCGTGGTAATCGATGTTGCGATAAACCAGGTCACCTGTAATCGTCCCTGGAAGGGTTGATATCTATGCTCTAACCTTCATAGTGCTGCACAGATTTCATTGGAGCGATGTTGTAACGCCCGAATGCCTGCATACAAATACAGTGTGCCTGCCATTCGCGGGCGGATCCGTTCGTTCTTGCTCCATGCAGTGCCCGAAAAGAAAGGAAAAGAAATTGAGAGAGATAGCAAAGAAATAAAGAAAGAAGAAAAGGAATAATTCAGTTCACGCGGGGATGCATTTCGACAGTTGTTGCGCCGCCTGTCGTGTCAGTTGTGTTTTATTGTCTTTAATGACCCCGCAGCTTCAGTGCGGGGCCTTGATAATCCCGCACTCTGGACGTCCCGAAGCGTATTTCTGTGTGGCATGTATGTGCGGCATCACACATGTCCGTTCATTCCGAAGCCATGAGCAAGCAAGCAAGCGCGGACGCGTTCTCCGTGTGGTACGAAGGACGACCGCGGCGTGTGCCAGATCGGCGCGCGCCACTTTATTAGACCGGGTAAGCGTACAGAAATCGAAAGGGAGCGATCAATTACGACGAGGATGTGGTAGCCGTCGCGTCGGTGCATGCGCCGGGATGGAATAGTCTTAAGATTTTCCCGTTACGAGTTATAACGGACCCGCGCAGGCTCGTTACCTACTCCGGCTTCGTTCGGGACGTTAGCGGTGCATAGTTTCGGAGATTAGTTGTCACGCGGCGTGGATTTCCGCTTCGCGCATTCGCAAGCGGTGTACGTGATCCAACTGCATATAATATAGCCGAGACCTCGTACGCCGCGGGGTCGGCGACGAATATCATTTATCCAAGAGTGTCGACACCAAGATTTATGGACGAAGACGCGAAGAGGCTTTTATAGGGGCCCATAGTGGAATCTTCTACGAACGCACCGTCTCATTTCGCGTACAATAAAAACAGGATTGATTTTATGTATTCTAGAGATAGGTAGGTAGGTAATAAACTTTATTGGGATCCAACGAGGAATTACTGGCCCGGGCTAGGCCTCCAGGAGCTGTCGTCCGCTGAGCATCGAGCGATGTCTTCGGCGATAGCCCTGGCTCGCTGGACAGCCCAGATTTGGTCCACTGCACGTGGGCTAAGAAGGGCGGCTCGCCACCGCTCAGCCAGTCGTCCTGGGGTACACTCACGCTCACCCGAGTAGTGGCGGCGAACAATTCACTCACACTCCCAAAGTATATGCGCCATTTCGGCTGTCTCGTTCCCGCACCACGGACAGCCGGGTGACGGGTGCAGCGAGGGACACAGTCTATGCGGGTGTCGGGGATTCTCAAATGTGTCGGTCTGCAGACGCCTCAAATCAGACGCCTGAGACCTTTCTAGCTGCATGTGGGGTGCTGGGTAACGTCGTCGCGTTTTTCTGTAATGGTTTAGGATCTCGTGGAAAGTAATCATGATGTCATTGCAGTCCTGTAAGGCCTCGAGGTCTGTTATCGTCGTCGTAGAGGTATTGTGTCCTCCGACCTCAGGTCACTCACCATCGTCAATGTGTAGTACATCGGCGGCCCTTTCGTCTGCATCGCGCCAGGTTAGCAGTCTCACGACGAAATGGGCGCGCTCCTTGTCGTTCGACGGGCGGTCAGATCTTTGGTCGCTGCCAAGCTCTCCCACGTGTGCGGGAAACCACTTGAGAGACTTGACAGCAATCGCACCGGACATGAAATCTTCGGCTCTGGCGTTTAGCATGTGCGCCGCCTCGACAGTGATCCATGCCTTCGTAAAGTTTCGGACCGCCGTCTTGGCATCACTCACGATAAGTGTCCTCGTTTTCACTATGAATTATTGCGAGGACTATGGCCATTTCTTCTGCCGCCTCAGACGATGGGAGCCTCGCAGATCCCGTCACCAGAGTTCGTTCCCTCGTGTCGACCACCGCCATGGAGAAGGCAGGTGTCGATTGGCACTGTTGTTGCTCTCACTCGTTCTGCTGTTGTCCTCGGTCGGGCCGGGGGTATCTAGCAGCGTCGACAAAACGGACACCCTCTCCGCTGCCGTGCTCTTTGAGGATCGCCTCCGCTCTGCATCTGCGCCTTTCGGCATCGTGCACAGGGCGCATGTTCTGGGCATATTCTCTGTGAGTATAGCATTCTTGACCGCTGGCAATAGCGCGTCCTTCAGTCCCCGCATCCCGTAGTAACGAATCTCGAGGGAGTCGAGGATGGTTCTTCCGGTCTTGGTGCCCGAGAGTCTTACGAGCTGTGCAATCCTCTGAGCCTCGATGATTTCGGTGAGCGTGTTGTGCACGCCCAGCTCAAAGAGTCTGCAGTTGGCAGTGTAGTGAGGTACGCCTAATGCAGTTTTGTAGGCCCTGTGGATGATCGTGTCCAGCTTGTTGCTTTCGCGTGTGCTCTCATTGATGTTAGCAGCAACGTACATGATGTGGTTTGAAGCATGCGCCTGAATCACTCTCACTACATTGTGCTCTTTCATTCCTTCCCTCTTATTCGTGATTCGTCCTATTAGGTTCGTAACGGCTGCCACTTTCTTCTGCAGCCGGCTGACCAGCTCTGAATTGGCACCGTTTTTTTCCAGCCAGAGGCCAAGGACTGGTATCTTGGACACCGTGGGTATGCGGACTCCTTCTTTTGTCGTGACACACACGCCCGTCTGACGGACCTCGGCCACTTAATTCCCTCGGGGGACGTCCCGGTTTCCTAGGTTTGTGGAGCAGGATCTCCGACTTGTTTGGAGCGCAGACGAGCCCCGTGCCTTCGAGGGGCTTCTCAACTATTATATTCTAGAGCTCCGTCTTTCTGCTAAGCGTAAAACTACACCGTGCAGAGCTCCGCAGCCGTATCGTCAGCGCTGAAAAGGAGTGACTTGTGCTGGACGTTGCTGCTGTTCGCGCTAGCTAGGACTATGGTCGTAGCTTGTTTGTTATTACAGTATCTGCTACCCCGAAATGTCTCAGGTTTTTATTATAAAAGCAACATGCATTTTGCCGCATCATCATAGAGTGCGTTGGCATATTTTAACACGAAACTGTTTTATGCTGGGGTCCACCACGGCTCCGCTGACTTAATCTCGTCACGGATAGAACGTTGTAAAAGATAGCGCCTCGCGCTCCTCAGCGCGCGACGCTAACTACCAAGGCACAGAGCGAACCTTCCGTAGCCTGCTAACGGCGAGCCATTGGGCTCGTTAAGTTAGCGCACTCTGAAGAAGCACACTCGAGTGCGCTCGGGTGCGACACCTGCAGCGGAGTGCTTCG